ATAACCTCCTTGACTTCTACCCCAGCTAGCCCAAACCTCCCACCTTTGCTCTCATTGTCTTCTCCTAGGAAGCTTTCCATACTTCCCTTTGCTCCCCAGTTCCTTCACCTCTTCTTCTTCTTTTTTTTTTATCCTCACCTGAGAATATTTTTCCATTGATTTTTAGAGAGAGGGAAAGACAGAAATATCAATGTAAGAGAAACACATTGATTGGTTGCCTCCTGCATGCGCCCCCAGGTGGTGGGGGGAGGAGCCTGCAACCGAGGTATGGGCCCTTGACTGGAATTGAACCCGAGACCCTTCAATCCACAGGCCCACGCTCTATTCACTGAGCCAAACCGGCCAGGGCCCCTCACCTCTTCCTGATTATCACCTGCTAACTTTGCCCCAGTTAGTTACATTTTCATTCCTTCTATGAATTTTTTCCTGAAGCAGCTTAGGTAGCTTAAGTCACTCCCTCCTCTTCTTGTTCCTATTGTTTCCTGGACATAATGTATATCTAGAAACAGAACATGTCATTATATATAATTGTCTACATATCCATCTTCCCTTTGCCACTTTGAGTCATTCCACTCTGGGAAGAAATCACACCTTTTTCATCTGGGTTTAATGATCCATTTCTGAAACGTATAGATTGTATTTTGCAACAGTGCAATTCAGTATTACCAATTATTGTGTTTTCTCTTAGCAGTAGCTATTATTAAAGCTGTATTGTTTGAATTTTTTCACAGAGCTCATTAATTGTTGGAAGTAGCCCTGAATTCAATTGCTCTGATCTCCTAACAAATGATGATCCCAATATCGAACTTTCTGCTGCCCATCGGAGTTCTAGACCTCCATCAGGTAGAAAATTAGGAATTTTAATTTTGGTGTTCATATGAGTGCACTTTCAAATTTCATCAACTGCCTTCTTTCTATGAAAGGAGGGAGAAGCGGGATTTGCTGGCCCACCTTTGCTTCAGCACATAACATGGCACCCCGGAAGCCTCACGCGGGGATCATGAGTTACAACGCCATCAGTGGCCTTTTGGAAGTTTCAGGCAAGTTTACACATAGTCCTTGACACATCTCAATTAAGTGCTATAAAGAGTACATAGAGTATAACTAATCATGTTTCATTGTTAGTAAAAAAATGATTTAAATGAATGTGTATATGAATCTGCTCAATATGACAAGAAAATAAATCAGAGTCCATTTCAAGAATGGAGTAATGAGGCTGATTGAGCTAGGCTTATTAACATGATAAAACTCACAGAGTTCCCTAGAGCACAAGGAGAGTGAGCCCTAACATGCAAGCACTTTTCAGATCTGCTAATACCACAATTGCCCTTGTCCCATTGGCCAAAACAAGTTACATGGCCAAGAGCAGAGAAATATGGAAATGACTACTCAGTGGTGTTGATATAGGGAGACAACAATCTACCACATATGGTGGTGGATTAATCTTCCACATAAGGTAAGACCTTCATGTTCAAGGTAGTATTAAATTATGTGTCTGCTGGAATGTACACGAAATGCAACTGTACCACTTCCTCTATAGAAAGTAATTATTTTTCTATTATTTCCATTTCAGGTTCAACATTTGTTGGATTCAAGAATGTTTGTTCAGGTGAAACTAATGTGATATTCATTACTAACCCTTTAAATGAGGATTTACAGCATCCAATCCATGTGAAGAACATACAGCTGGTTGACACTATTGAAAAAGCAAAAATATTTATACATAGGCCTGATATAAGGTAAAATATATGAAAACCCAGTTTTCTTCCTCTCTTCATAGAGCTGGGAAAGTTGCTATGTTAAAGTAACTGTGTTTTTTTTATCAGCATTATGAAAATTAAGATTAATGCATCTGTGTTTTCAGTTAAGTTGAATATATGTATATTCTCTTATACTGTTTTTTCCATGCATTATATTTATTTAATTGATTTTTTAGAGAGAGGGGAACAGAGAGAAAACATCAATTTATTGTTCCACTTATTTTATGCATTCATTGGTTGCTTCTTGTATGTGCCCTAATCAGAGATTAAACCCACAACCTTAGTGTATTGGGATGATGCTCTAACCAACTGGATAGTATTTGGAAACTTAGAGCAGTGATTTTTCAGTCGCAAAGGTCAGGTGGTGTCAGAATATTTGTAGAAGCTGAACCACCTCCATTCTAAGTCTTAAAAGAATATAGTCAATAATTGCTACTGTTCATAAGAGGTGCAGACTAGGAATTTAGGTGTAAGGCAGCAGTGGAGGTAAGAAATTTTCTATTAGAGATCTTTGTCCATTTTCAGCATAAGGAAAAGACAAGGAAAAATGCTGTCAGACAGCTCTTCAGAGAAATGCAATGTTTCATAAATAGTTTGACTTCATCTGATTTTGTTTTGATGATAGCCCCACAGCTTTTCTCTATGGCTGCTCTCCTTCCCTTTGAGAGGATTCCCTCAATAACTAACTTGAACAAAAGTCCACATCTCAGCCTGTTCCTTTGGAAGCTGAAATCAGAGAGAGCCCCAAGCTGTAGTATGAGTGCCACTAGGCACCTACCCACGGACTTGTTTACAAAACAATGTATAGTACATTGCAAATTGAGCAGCTATTTTATTATAACCAATTAACAATCCACACTCCAGGTGGCCCAAGATGAAAGCAGAATACCATCCCTGGTTGAACTGCATTGTGAGTTGTTAGTATTTCATCTCTTACAGTTTGGGTGTCTACAGAATGCTTACTAAAATGTGCAGCATAAAAACCATAATTCAAGTACATCTGTTTGCATTTACATAGGCAAAAGTCTATGAGAATAAATACTAAATCTGCAGTTTGTGATGATTCTAAGAGCTTAAGATAAGAAGGTGAAGGGGACTGAATTTTTACCAAGTACCTAGATGATTTCATAGTAAGCATATAATACTTTTATAATATTTAAAGACCCATTAAAAAAGAGAGAAGGAAAGAAAAAATAATAAAGACTTCCCTGCCAACACAGGAATTTTTTATGTCCTGAACAGTAATGTTAGTATATTGTGAGCTATTCACAAATATGAAATTTATTATTCAAGAAAATATGAAACAACAAAATGGAATTCTAATTTTATATCCCACAGGTATAACTTGTCCTTTTGAAATGTTAATGAATTCATAATAGACCAAATCAACGCAATGGAAAACAGATCTCACTACAATGCACATTACATATGCTACTGGGTCCTACTTTAAATCCTGTCTGAAAAGATAAGATTCAATCAATCAAATTTTTTGGATACTCTCTTATCAAATACTCAAGTATACTCAAATGCTCCCTAGAAATAGGGAGGGATACTAAATCTAAGTATTCATACATTTGACCTTTTCTCCACAGGAAGGTGAATCCATCTGATTGTGTAGACATGGTTTGTGATGCCAAAAGAAAATCTTTTCTCAGAGATTTGGATGGCTCCTTTCTGGGGAATTCTGGTTCAGTGATACCTCAATCAGAATATGAATGGAATGGAAATAGCCAATTTGGAATCGGAGACTACAGAATTCCAAAGGTTATGCTCACATTCCCAAATGGAAGTAGAATTCCTATCACTGAGAAAGCACCTTATAAAGGTTTGTTGGATATTATTCTGTTAGTTCTCAAACTTGTGAAACAAGATATATCTTTTCTTTTTAATGGCTGCTGTACTCAACCAATACTGTATTTCCTACTTAGTAATGTTACATAACAAGAAAAAGATAGTATGTGGATACTTTTACGAAGAGATTTCTTTTCATTGCTAAAATGTATATACCTGTGTTTCTAGGAATTATTAGAGATTCAACCTGTAGATACATTCCAGAATGGCAGAGCTATCGGTGCTTTGGGATGGAATATGCAATGATGGTCATTGAAAGCCTGGATTCTGACACCGAAACTCGAAGACTCTCACCTGTGGCTATAGTGAGCAGTGGTTATGTAGATCTCATTAATGGTAGGTGTTCAATGTCAACAAACTAGGATTACTCAAAGCGTTCACTATTTAGTGCGTGCATAGAGACAGCTCATAAATTATTATCACATAAAACTAGCAAACATCTGTGCCTCCCATTTGTAAGAAAGATCTATGTATAAGAGAGATACTTGACTCTTCAGCAGTTTCCCGTATTAGAAAGCCAGAGCAGTGATTCGAAATTGAACACTAGAAGAAGAAAGAGAGGAAAGTTATTTGTTGAGTGATCTTCATACTTATAACATAAATATTTTTAAGAAAAAGTTGGCCTGAGTGTCTCCAAAATGACAGTTTGCCTCTCATAAATTAAAAAAACGATAATGAATCTGAACAACCAATGGGTCCGGGCTGCCTGTCACTACTTGAGCCAATTAAGCAGAGACAAGGTTGAATTATATATGAGTGTTTATTCTAATAATGCCAGCAGTATGGGAGAGCAGCAGGTCATTCATGAAAATCTGCTCTACCCCTCCCCATAAGCCAGCTGCTTATATTGGGTAGGACAAAGATTACACAGGGAAGTAGGAATTACAGGCCTGGGAAAGTGGGCAAGGTTACAGGCATTGCAGGCTGGGTGAGGGTTGCAAAGGACAGGGACCTCCGGGACTAGATTGTTTCAGCAACAAGGTCATTAATCTTTTCATGATGATAGGCAGTTCTTAGAAAAGGAGAATGGACTACATTCTAAGGTTAACAACTCCCATGTCCCAGGGTGTACAACTCTCAGCCAGGTTAGAATGTGCTTTCTCTAATCAGAACAGAACAATCCTAGTTAACAGAGCATGACTAATATTTCTTACAACTATAGCTAGTCCCCACTATTCTATTTCTGCCCCTAACAATAATATATTATTTGGAATACTTGAGAACAAATATTCTCAGCCTACTCATTTTTTATTTTCATGAATCCTTAGAAGACTTAATCTTGAAATGATGTGTTTTGTTTTCATTTCTGAAATGAAACTTGAGATATGCTGGACTAGGTGGCTTTTGTCACTCTAAATTTTTCATTTTATATGTAGAAATTTATTTCTGTTTGTTTAAAACCCCACAAAGAATGTTTATTTAAAGGTAGGATTTATATTTTGGATGCTAAGGGAAAGTTTATGTTCTGCTTGAGTTGCAGAAGTTTATATTGATTTAAAATTTGATTGAAGTCAGTTATAAATATTTATGATAAGTTCAAGTAAGCCAGGAAATTGAGCAACGCTAATGAATAAATACATGAAGAAAATTCATCATTCCATACCTCACTCAATGTTTATCCGAGCCACTGTAAAACTGAAGTGAAATAGAGAAGTTGGCTACAAAAGTCATGGTGTATCTGTTCTAGAAAGGTCTAGATCAGTGATGGCGAATCTATGACACGCATGTCAATTAAAATTTGATTGAAGTCCAGTTATAAATATTTATGATAAGTTCAAGTAAGCCAGGAAATTGAGCAACGCTAATGAATAAATACATGAAGAAAATTCATCATTCCATACCTCACTCAATGTTTATCCGAGCCACTGTAAAACTGAAGTGAAATAGAGAAGTTGGCTACAAAAGTCATGGTATACCTGTTCTAGAGAGGTCTAGATTCAGTTAGAGAAGCATCCACTGTCTTTTGGCTTTCTAGAGAGTTTATTGGAGTGTCACACACCGAGCTAAAAAGGTTCGCCATCACTGGTCTAGATTCAGGTAGAGAAGCATCCACTGTCTTTGGCTTTCTAGAGAGTTTATTGGAGTGTCATTTCTCAGATTGCTTCAGTTCATTAATGATGTTGACCTTCCAGTACTACCTATAATCACACTCTTTAACAAAAATATATTAAAATAACAGTGGAGGGCAAAGACAATAAAAAACATACTTAAGAGTTTGTTGAATTTACAAATTAACTGATGAACAAATGAGTATAAGAAAGAGTTAATGAATCAATGGTTCAGACATAGAAATATACCTGTTTCTAGTTACAGTTCAGGCTCTATTTTTAACAACTTAACTCCGTTACAGCATATTTCTCAGCAGAGTCTGAGAAAGTTGGTTCCCCACCCAAACTCACATTTGATAGGTAGGAGAAAGGATGAAGCATTTTCTTCCTTACTATGTGGCCTGAGCTTAAATATGATTATTAAAGTAGAGAACCATGCAAATCTAGTATTTCTTCATTGACTTTCTAGTACAAATCCTCAATACATTAGTTTGCCCGTCTTCACTTGGGCAGTGTAAAATTATGGTAAGTGAGAGGAGTTGCTTCCCTGCCTTCCTATTTAAGCCAAGGTGTGAGAAATAGCTTAGATCTCTGGATAGAAGGGTGGAAGGATAAAGGATGTAAATGTTGAACTTCATCACTGCCATTTATTTTTAGTGCAATTACTTGTCACACTTTGCACTAATGACATTCATCATAGGAAACATGAATTTCATTTTCTCTGGATTTAGGCCCACAGGATCATGGTTGGTGTGCCGGATACTCCTGCCAGAGAAGACTGTCCCTGTTTCACAGCATTGTGGCTCTGAACAAATCTTATGAAGTTTACTTCACTGGCACTAGTCCTCAGAATCTTCGACTGATGTTGCTTAACGTGAAGCACGACAAGGTAAGGCAAGATGGAAATAATTGCTTAAGAGTTATTGGTGTTAATTACTTGCTTATATTTCTATCTGCTAAGGACTTTATCTCCTCCCCTGTTCTCTTGAACATCGTCAGCCATAGCTTCTTTTCAAGGATCATCAGGGTACTACCAAGAATACTGTTAGCCCAGATAGTTTCATCAGCCTGAGAGCACATAAGAATACCAAACACCTCTCCCCAATATGCACTTGATTCATATGAGGCATGACACTAGGGCCTATGATTTGTGTGATTAGGAAGGAAACCTGAATTTTTACATAAAAAATAGTGCACATCCAAAATGGTCACTGGAATTGCATATTTATTCTTCCATGCTGTTATTATTTATATGTGTCAGAAATACACCTTTGGACTTTAGGATCATAGCACATTATCTAAAATATCATCATTAATGTCAGATCTTTCCTATAAACAATTCAGCTGAGGTGATTAAACTTATATATACTATGTCAGTGGGAAAGAGTTTGAGGTTAAGCAGTAGTCTCATAATTTAGATTTTTTTCTAAGAATATGAGACGTGAACATCTAAGAGTATTAGGAATGTGAAGAAAGGATACTGATGAGATGAAGCAGAGAGAGGAGTAATGAAAGGAGACACCCACCCCTTCTCAGGTGACAGCAATCACAGTTTTTCGGTTGCTCAAGATAAAACCTGGAATCTATTCTTGATTCTTCTCTTTCTCTCACATTCCTCATCCAATCCATCTGCAAAACCAGTTGAGTCTCCCTCCCTAATCTCCAGAATCTGAGCACTTCTCACCATCTCCACTGCTACCATCCAGTTTGAGCCAACATTATCTCTTCCTTGGATGAAGGCGATTGCCTCCCAACTCCTCCTCCTGCTCCATCTTTGCCCCTCTTCTGTCTATTCTCACCTCAGTAACCACAGAGGGACTCTCAAAATGTAAGCCAGTTATATCATTCCTCTGCCCCAAACCTACAATAATTTCCCTATTGGTCTTTGCCCAAGAGTCAGAGTCCTCACAGGGGCTTACAAAACCGTATGAGAATCTCCCCCTTAGCTCTCCCCTTCTTATTTTACTCCTCCAGCCACACTGGGCTTCCTTGCTGTCCTCAACACACCAGACATGCTACCACCAGGGCCTGTGTTCAGATGTTGAGTCTGCCTCCAACATTCTACCCCAGGTGGCTAACTCCCCCATCTCCTCAACTCCCATTCGCTCCATAAGCCTACCCCGATTACCCTTCCTCTAGGCTCTACCCGTTACTTACACTCTGATCTACATAGCACTTTTCTTTTTCTCCATAGCACTTATCACTTTCTAACCTGTTTGATACTTTGCTTTTTATTATTTCTATTAATTATTCTCTGTTTCCTCACTCTACAATGTAAAGTTAAACAGGGAAGGGACTTTTGAATGCTCCTAGAATAATGCCTGGCTCAGATAGACATTCAATTTTTGAATAAAAGAGAATATTTTTAGTTAGGAATGCAACTACGAAGTATGGTGACAGTGAACATTCTGAGCCTCTGTAGACATTTCAAAAGATTTTCCTTCCTGTCCTGCAGAAGCCAGTCTTCTTACTTTATGATTACATTTGACAGCATGAGATTTGGGGAATATAAACATGGAAAAAAATGAACAAAATTGAATCAAAGAGGAGAGTTGTTTGGGCTGATTTTTATTAGTCTTTTTTAATTTTTAATCTTAACTGGAGGATATTTTTCCATCGATTTTTAGAGAGTTGAGGGAGAGGGAGATACAGAGAGTTGGTCTTTGCCCAAGAGTCAGAGTCCTCACAGGGGCTTTAAATACAGTTCCTCATGTTGCCTCCCAACTCCTCCTCCTGCTCTATCTTTGCTACTATATATACTAGTAGCTCTATCGTTGCTACTCCATAACTGTAATGTTGCTACTGTTATGAATCGTAATGTAAATATCTGATATGCAGGATGGTCTTAAGCGACCCCTGTGAAAGGGTCGTTCGACCGCCAAAGGGGGCCTACCCCGATTACCCTTCCTCTAGGCTCTACCCGTTACTTACACTCTGATCTACATAGCACTTTTCTTTTTCTCCATAGCACTTATCACTTTCTAACCTGTTTGATACTTTGCTTTTTATTATTTCTATTAATTATTCTCTGTTTCCTCACTCTACAATGTAAAGTTAAACAGGGAAGGGACTTTTGAATGCTCCTAGAATAATGCCTGGCTCAGATAGACATTCAATTTTTGAATAAAAGAGAATATTTTTAGTTAGGAATGCAACTACGAAGTATGGTGACAGTGAACATTCTGAGCCTCTGTAGACATTTCAAAAGATTTTCCTTCCTGTCCTGCAGAAGCCAGTCTTCTTACTTTATGATTACATTTGACAGCATGAGATTTGGGGAATATAAACATGGAAAAAAATGAACAAAATTGAATCAAAGAGGAGAGTTGTTTGGGCTGATTTTTATTAGTCTTTTTTAATTTTTAATCTTAACTGGAGGATATTTTTCCATCGATTTTTAGAGAGTTGAGGGAGAGGGAGATACAGAGAGTGAGAAAGATCAATGTGAGAGAGACACATCGATTGGTTGCCTCCACACATGCCCCAACCAGGGCCTGGGATACAGCCTGCAACGAAGGTATGTGCCCCTGACCAAAATCAAACCCGAGACCCTTCAGTCTGTGGACCAACATTCTATCCACTGAGCCAAACAGGCTAGAGCAGTGGTTCTCAACCTTCTGGCCCTTTAAATACAGTTCCTCATGTTGTGACCCAACCATAAAATTATTTTCGTTGCTACTTCATAACTGTAATGTTGCTACTGTTATGAATCATAATGTAATATCTGATATGCAGGATGGTCTTAGGCGACCCCTGTGAAAGGGTCGTTCGACCGCCAAAGGGGTCTCGACCCACAGGTTGAGAACCGCTGGGCTAGAGCTAATTTTTATTAGTTTTACTACCATGTTTGTCTCAGAGATAAGTATTTTTTTCAACATTAAGTAGCTAATTTTGTGTGATTACATTATACAGAGTACTGCCAAGTTTGCATTATACAGCGTACTGCTAAATTCCCCATTTCTTCTGCCCCTGGAGTGGAAAGTGTGTATTGAACTCTGTTAGCTTTTAAAGAGGCCCTTTCTTTAATTTAGAGATTCTCCTCAAATAATTTCTTTCTTACATTACACTTTTCTACTGAGAATTATCAATTAAGTTGTAACATCTCTATAAATGGTTGAATGTAAGTCCCTTTAATAATTTTAGCTCAATATTTATCCTAAGTCCATAAAATTTAGTTTTAATTTTTTGCAGAAAGTAGATACGGTTCAAGGACATTTATTTTTTAAGTGCTAATATTTTAAATATTTTGTTTCATTGTTCTTTTAAGATGTAAAAATGTGTTCATTTTTAACAGGCTGTTCTGGTAGGAATTTTTTTTTCCACACCGCAGCGTTTGGATGTCTATGTGAACAATGCATTGGTCTGCCCCAAAGATACAGTATGGAACCCCCAACAGAAACACTGTGAATTTAATAGACATCTACACACAGGTATTTACTCAGAAAAATACAGTACACATTATATATATGTAATTACATGTAAAATTCTTTGTTGATATTTCATTAATATCTTTAGTTCCTTCGCCATTGATGAATGCAAGATAAAATAGTTTTTAGCCACCAAATACTAAGATGTGTTAATTTATAACATGAATGTCCTAAAAGATCAGTCCTGATGGAAGTCTTAGCTATCTGCAACATGCAGATATTAATTTTTTGATGTACAATGGACATTCCTTAGCCCCCTAAGAACATTTACATTCTACACATTCAGTTTAGTTATTCCTATGTACAGAAGAAAACTTGCTTAGAATTTTTATCCTATCTCTGCTTTACTTCTAGTTCACAGAGTTCAGAACCTAAATTAATTGACAATATTGCCAAGAAAGTTAGTATAACATCAACCTAAACACCATGAAGTATATGTAATAAACTAAACTGCACTTAAATGAAATATATGGAGAGGCTAAACTTAACCCATTTAACTAACATTTGCAAAACCAGGATTTATCTCTGCTCACTGAAGTCTTTTTGTTAATCCGATACCAATAAAGTCAATACATTCCATTCCACATGTGCTAATTTATTATCATTGTTATATGTGCCGTTATCTTTGCTAACAATCACATAAATGTCTGCTTTGGATCATAATATAAGCTGACATGAGAGTATGAATGGACAACCATATTCATTACTGTCTATGGAGCAAGTCCAATTTCTACTAATTATATGAATCACTAATGTTTCCAGAGACATAGTGTTACTATATCCTAATAATAACCCTATGAAGTAGGCACAGATGAGTAAACTGAGACACAAGGAGGTAAAGTAATTTGCCAAGGTCTCTGTCTTAGCTCAAGCTGCCTAACAAAATACCATAAACCTGGTGGCTTAAAAAATGTTATTTTATCACAGTTCTGGATGCTGCTGGTACTAGGTCAAGGTGCCAATATGATCAGGTTGGGGACAGCTTTCTTCCTGGCCTGCAGATGGCCTCCTTCTCACTGTCCTCACAGGCAGAGAGAGAATGTGTGAAAGCATGCAAGCTGTCTGTTATCTCTTCTTATAAGGGCACTGATCCATTGTGAAGTCCCCACCCACATGACCTCATCCAAACCGAATTACCTCTCAAAGGCCACATCTCCAAATACCCTCACATTGGGGGTTAGGGATCTAACACATGAATCTGTGGGGGGAGGGGGACACAACTCAGTCCATAACAATATCACAGCCAGTAAGGGCAGAGCAAGGACTCACAGAATAGCTCTAGAACCTGTGCACTTAAATTATGCTCTCTTACCTCCTTATATGCTAAGGAAGCCAGTGTTATCATTTTTTAAAAATATATTTTATTGATTTTTTACCCACTACTGGGGATGTGCCTGCAACCAAGGTACATGCCCTTGACCGGAATCAAACCCGGGACCCTTGAGTCCGCAGGCCAATGCTCTATCCACTGTGCCAAACCGGTTAGGGCAGTGTTATCATTTTTACATACAAATCATTATATATATTTACAGCTTAATTTTTATAAATTTTAACAGTTTTTTCAAACTATACTTTTTGTACCAAGTATCTATTGTTCAAGTCAGGAAAGTGGAAAATATCCCAACAGGCAGAATTTAATATAAGGAATTGGTTATATAGGTGCTGAAGGGCTAAGAAACAACCACTGCCCTCTTATGGGTCTCCCCCGTACCTCTCCCCGCTTCCCCACCTTCCCACCCCGGAAACGACATTGCTTTTAAATGAACATTTTGCTTTGGCACTTGGAATGTAAAATAATCTCCCTGTATTAGGAACCTGTACATATTTTTTTGAAGACATGAGATAGTTACCTAGGATAAATGGTATATGTAACAGTAGATTGATTATAATACAAAAGCACATACTTCAAATTCACAGAATGTTTAAACCAAATTGCATCTAGAATTTATCCTAGTAGGTATTAAATAAATATATAGTAACAATGAAATGGCTCCTTAGTGCCATTGTTATGAATGTCTATTACTTTCATAAGAAATACCCTCTTCTTTATAACATTTTCATTTCTTTTTCTTAGTAAGCCTCACTATGAAATGTGGTAAAAATCTGCACCTCTTATGGCAGTACTATTATACAATTCAACCTTTTGTCAGGGCTTAATACATTTTAGTAGATATATTACCTCTTAAACATTATTACTATTGACACTGTGCCATAAAATAGTATATACAGGGGTTGGCAAAAAGTAGGTTTACAATTGTTTGCATGGAGTATAATACAATAATTAATAAATAATAATATAAGAAGAAACTGTTTTGTGTACTAACAGCTGTTAACCTACTTTTTCACACCCCTGTATGTTCATTCATTTTTAATGTATATAATAATCCCAATCACTTTTACAAAATTTGCTTCCCTGGTAGAATTTGTTTTGCATTAACCAAATATTTGCCAGGCTGAAATGTAAACCTATTTCACGTAAGATCCTTCTGGGATGTTTTTGGTTTTTTTAAATATATTTTATTGATTTTTTTACAGAGAGGGATAGTTAGAAACATCGATGAGAGAGAAACATCGATCAGCTGCCTCCTGCACACCCACTACTGGGGATGTGCCTGCAACCAAGGTACATGCCCTTGACCGGAATCAAACCTGGGACCTTTTAGTCTGCAGGCCGACGCTCTATCCACTGAGCCAAATCGGTCAGGGCCTTCTGGGATGTTTTGATGTATATTTCATTTGTATTATATAATATTTTTCTTGGTAAAAATAGAAGCACTGAATTAAAAATGTTCCTCAAGATTTGGTATATAGCACTGCACAAACTAGATGGCTACTAAAGTTAAATTTACATTTTTGAAATTATCAAATGCCTTTGGTCAAGGCTTTAAAATTCTGGACATGTAAATAGTATTATAATACAAGGTCCTGGGTTCATAATTAGATTTTATTTCTCATTTATACTGTGTCTATAGTATTTTTAAAGTAAATTTAATGAACCAATGATTATTGTTTTCTAAATTAATTGTTTTTAATAAATTTTTAAAACTTTGTTAAAAATTTAACATATAATGATTAAAATCGGTATTATTTAAAAGATTGACTTTAATTTTGCTTGTTAGTTCTATATGTGTTTTTAAGATGCATACTTTCTTATGAAAGAATGATAATGGTGAACTTTTTGGAATTTCATAAATTTAAACAAATATTAAATATTACATGGTAATTGTGATCATATGAATATGCATAACCATGCTGTTTTGGCTTTTTTCCTTCATAGAGCAATTCCTTCCTAACCTGAATTCCAGTGTCCTTGGTGAAAACTACTTTGATAGAACCTACCAGATGCTTTACCTTTTGGTTAAAGGAACCATGCCTGTTGAAATCCACACCACCGCAGTCATTTTTGTTTCTTTCCAAATACCTGCTGTAACAGAAGAGGACTTTTATAGCTCTCATAATCTAGTTAGGAATCTTGCCTTGTTCCTAAAGATACCAAGTGACAAAATCCGTATCAGCAAAGTAATAGGAGGGGACAGTGTGCGCAAGAAGAGATCCATGGGACTCACGGTTCAACTGGAGATTGGAGATCCGCCCCCTCAGTTCATAACCAATGACACCGCAGGTACGAGTAGTTGACCTTTGAGATAGAGCAATGCAGTTACCAAATCCACACCCACAAGTAACCTTATCAAGGCCTGGTAAGCATGACCTCAGGAAATCCCACCAACCCTACATCCTGAACCCTGTGAGGGCCTAGAGACCCCTTTTCCTGCCCTACTCCTGTAATCCCAACTTAATTTGGAATTATGAAGGAATTTGAGCCTCTATTTTATTATTGTAGCAATTAACAAATTCAACCAAAGGATTTCACCTAATATAAAAGATCTGAGAAGTGGCCTTACAGCTGAGAGATTAAACATGAAAATAGGGGGGTGGGAACGTTCAAGGCTGAGGAGTAGTTGCTGAAAGTTTGATGCTTTAGAAGAATTGGAAAGGTCCAAGAGGTCTGCAGTGGAAGGAGGCAGGAAAGGCAAGCTGCTGGAGATGAGGTTGAGCAGTAGGAGATAGTGGGAAACCAAAAGGAGCTCTCCTATTCATAAGCTGAAGAAGGACTGTGGATGTTCTCCTAAGGAAAGAGTAGTGCAGTGGTGAAATAGATTTCCTTAGCAAAGTCACAGATTGACCTGCAATGCAGTTACCAAATCCACACCCACAAGTAACCTTATCAAGGCCTGGTAAGCATGACCTCAGGAAATCCCACCAACCCTACATCCTGAACCCTGTGAGGGCCTTAGAGACCCCTTTTCTTGCCCTACTCCTATAATCCTAACCTACTTTGGAATTATGAAGGAATTTGAGCCTCGATTTTATTATTGTAGCAATTAACAAATTCAACCAAAGGATTTCACCTAATATAAAAGATCTGAGAAGTGGCCTTACAGCTGAGAGATTAAACATGAAAATAGGGGGGTGGGAACGTTCAAGGCTGAGGAGTAGTTGCTGAAAGTTTGATGCTTTAGAAGAATTGGAAAGGTCCAAGAGGTCTGCAGTGGAAGGAGGCAGGAAAGGCAAGCTGCTGGAGATGAGGTTGAGCAGTAGGAGATAGTGGGAAACCAAAAGGAGCTCTCCTATTCATAAGCTGAAGAAAGACTGTGGATGTTCTCCTAAGGAAAGAGAAGTGGAGTGGTAAAATAGATTTCCATAGCAAAGTCACAGATTGACCCAACAAGTGCAAATATGCAAGTATATGTTCTATCTTTATTCCTATGCTACTCTAATCAGCCTCACCAACCATCACCCCTTTCTCTGTTCCTCACCAGCCATCACCCCTTTGGCCGTCCCTCACTCTCCAGACCCTCATTTTCTAGGTATCAGATAAAAATAAGCTCAACTGTCCCGTAACAGGTGTCTTTGCTGCTTTAAATTATTTCCTTAGAGTGACTCCTTTTGGGCATCTGGGTGGGTAAATGTTCAGTCTTCAGGTGTTCTTCCTCTCCATCTGTTCAGTCTGTTTAAGTTGGTATCTGAATCCCAAGGGGGCCTTCGTGACCTCAGGCCCTCACGCTGCCCCCTGGACTTAATAGTCTCTGCTACAAGATGAATGGTCTTCTCTGCTCTGCACAAGCCTCTCTAGAGGCCACTGAACCTTCCTGGCCTCCTGCTGCTAATCCCCAGGGGCTAATTCCCAACCTGCTATTTTTTTATGGGTAATCCTGTGTAGTGGGTGAAGATCTCACCTTCTGCCACTAGGGGTCATCACTCATTTCCCCAGCAGGTTTGTTTTGACTCTAAGTGAGCCACATTGCCATTCTGGAATACCACCAGTTAGGCAGCCAAGAGGTTCTTCCCTTGTGGGGATAAGCCTGTGGAAAGGTTTGCATGAGTAGAGGGAGGTGCTGATCAACTCTCTTTGTTGAAGAAAACTGGAAGCACAGGCTTGCATTATAACCAGTTCCCTCATGATGTTCTCTGACCTGTCATAGGTTACTTCCCTTCACCAGCCCTATAATTCCTGTGTTGACAGGGTCATGGCTTTGGACCCAAGAGAGTCTATTAATTTAACCTAGGAGTTGTAGTGGGTCCATGGTTCATATACAGATTGCTCACCGACTCTTAGAAATCCTGGTTAGCCCTTACATGTATTGGGGTCCAATATTTAGCATACTAGCCACTCAAATATCCAAAGAAACTATGATGTATTTTCTATATGTGATCTAAATTTCCTCACACACAACCCCTCCCAACCTCTATCCCCTTAAAGCAGTTTTACCTTGTTAGTCAGATTTATCTAGTTAGGTAAAAATGGTCTAAGACCTGGACATGGGGTAGAGGGAGAGACAGACCAATGGCATTTTTCCCAGACCTTTGCTGGGATACAGGTTTTAAGACTCAAGGAAGGCCTACAACTTGTCATGGAGCAACATTATAGAAAAATACTGGGAAATGGCAAAAAGATGTGCAATAGCAGCCCCCTGGCTCCCATGGCCTTCACATAGTGTTGGGATACCCAGACATTGCCAGGTTTCCTAAAAAAGGGTCCTTAAGTACTGAGGGACCTCTGGATAAGCAGAGACCTGAGGTCAAGAATGACCTCAAGTTAAGGTCTTTGGTTTCCAGGTGGCAGTCTACAAAAATGGACGCCTTCACATGACAAATGGTCAGAGTATCTGTTAACAGGGCAGACCAGGTCAGACCTGCCACTCCATACCAAAATCCAGTGAGGGCAAGTGGCAATAGTAGTGTACGGGCATGAAGCGCCCTTGTACTGCTACCGTTAGGTCACATGAACCTGCCTTCCTGGGAGGCTGTCTTGGAGAAGAATACACAGAGGAAGTGGGGGGAAGGGGGGAATCCATAGACTGAGCATTTGTCTAGAAGAGTCTGAGTCAACCACAAGAGACCTTTTAAATTGATAGGAACTAAAATTCCCTAAGACTGTGATTTTCAAATGTAAACCTGCTGGCCTAGGACATGGCCTCCTTCCCGAGTCTTAATGGAAGAAACTCAGTGGTCAGAATCCTCCAGGCAGGACTCTGGATGCGGAAGATGCTGGATGTCTAGGAACAAGGGGTTGGCGAGGCCCACAGGACACCAAAACGTTATCTCGGTGACAGTTGTTTTTTAAAAGATCAAATACAGTGGAGTGTATAGAGTGGAGTGGAAGGGGGAGAGAATAGATACAGGAAAGCCAGTTTAAAGCTCTTCTAGTGAGTCCACGGATGATGGCTTTCACTGGGATACTGACAGTGGGACAGAGAGATTTAGAAATTGGTAACTGATGAGATGGTGTGAAGGAGAGGTGACAGGTGAAGTAGAAGAAGCAAATGTTCCTGACTAAAGAAATACAACGAATAGAGGTGCCACTTCATAAGGAGCATTATCGAGACAGTCGATTTAAGAGGACCTGCCAAGCTAGAAAAAGAGTATAGTAACTACCCAGAGTTCAAATTAACCTTGAAAATCATCAATGTCCAGAAAAAGTAACCCTTTGTTAGTAATTTAATAAATGTAGCAACTTATTAATATGCATACTATGAATTTTATTCTTTCATTCCAAAATGACACTCTTTTTTTAAAAAATGGTAAGTGATGAAAGACATGCATGATAGTGCTCCACTTCTAAACAAAGGATGACATGGGAAAATATAAAATTGAGACACATTTTCCCATTATGCTTTTATTCATTTTTCTTATATCTATTTTATCTACCTTTGTTTTTTCTTTAATTCCAGCTTTAAAATATACTCTACTGAGCTTTTCAGTTTCCTACCTTCGTTAATATGACTGTCATGTTAAGCTTATGTACAGTTAGGAAGCTATAGAATTCTATAATGTGGATGGAGCAGCACAAACAAAAACTCAAGTGAAAAACTGTCATGTGTTCTCACAATTCCACTTCCTTATAATCCTTGTGTCATAACACTGTTTCCTCATAGGTCAGATGCAATTATCTGAACTCCAAGAAGTTGCTGCTTCTCTTGGACAAGCTGTAATTTTAGGAAAAACCAGTAGTACCCTTGGATTTAATGTCTCTTCCATGTCACTTATCAATCCCATTCCTAGCTCAAGTGATTCTGAATGGATTAAGGTAAGAAAATACAACTAGAAAAATGCACTTTAGCTACTTAAAACATTGTTGCTAATTTATTATTTCAATTTTTTTTCTATTTCAAGACTAATTTAGAGGGCATGTCTAATTTATTATTGGATATTTTATATGGTATCACTAAAATGATAAAGTAGGATAAAAAGGAGCCTGTCTTCTAAAAATTATTTATTGGAATAAAATGTGCTTTGCCTTGAATATTTACAACAATGCTTCATGAATTTGATCTAGAGGAGATATTATAATAATATTTGCACATATTAACATTTTAAAATAAAAATGAATATTATACTTAGCTTGGTTAAAATGATTTTGCTACTGAATGCAGTTTATTGTGTGAAAATCACTCCATCACTCATGACCATTCACAGGTGACTGCCCAACCAGTTGAAAGGTTTGCATTTCTTGTTCATCATGTGGCCGTTGTGTCCTCGCTCTCAGTGATCAGTCAACCAGTGGCAGCGCAGCTGGGACAGCCTCTTTCTCAGCAGCCTTCAGTAAAGGCAGTAGATCCAGACGTAAGTTATAACTCAAAGCTTCATTTAGGTGGAAGAATTAAGCTATAAATTCGGGAGGGTGAGCCAACTTCACTAATCCTGGTACTCTGCCTACCTGAGGATTGCACTATCAGACTGATATGTATGGATATTGTCTAGTACTATTTTAAAAATATTTCTTTTCCATGAATTTGCTCCAGTGCCCATATTTGTGAATTCTTTGTGTAGAAAAAAATACTTCTACTGATTTTAAATTTGTAATGAGGCATTTTTAAAGATAAAGTTTCACATATCTTTTTTTAAAAAGCATGGGACAGGGCAAATTAGAATTCTCTACATTTAGGTTTTTTTTCTTTAGGGTAATTGTGTATCAGTTGGGATTACTTCATTGACTTTGAAGGCCATACTAAAGGACTCCAACAATAACCAAATCAGTGGTCTTGGTGGAAATACAACAATTCCATTTAGCAGCTGTTGGGCCAACTACACGGACCTTACTCTTCTTAGAACAGGTGAGCATACTATTTTGGATCCTCACATATATTATAATTGAACAAAGCATTCTATAATATGCTGTTCAATAAATTATAGAAATCAGAACCCTATACTCTGACTTTTCAGAAAACATTTAGTCTAGCTTACAAAAATATATTTAATATGCAAAACAAACTAGAAATTAAAATAAGCAATGGAAGAAATTTAAACAGGCAATTTGAGAGGATATGCATCAAAATTATCTCATGATTCATATTTTTATCCATTTGCACATTTGCCTAATTTTCACTAAATATGTATTATTACATTTATAATATAAGCAATTAACAGATTTTCAAATTAAAGAAATGATAAGATAGGATCACATAATTTTAATACCTTGTGCAGGAGTTGCTCTGAGATCAGAATAAAGGTTCTCATAAAGCATATCCAATGAATCTTTACTAAGTTATATCTTCAACATTGTTACAGTAAATACAGTCATAACTTCCACAGTGATGTTTCTTATATTATCTCTGTTTGAGTTGATGGTATAACTCCAGTTAGTAAAAACCTTTCTTCTGAGGCCAAAATGGTATGTCCAAAAACAGATCCTATTGGTGATAGATTATAAAGTACCTAAAACAATGAAATGGATAAATGGCTTATACTTGAGACAGACCTCCATTAATCTGTTTACCTCAATCTGGGACCCTTTTAAGACCTATAAAGCCTAACTTCTGAAAAGCACTCTTACCACTGTTATTTCAAAAATACACACACACACACACTCACACACACACACACACACAGAGAATAAAAGTAAAAATAAAGAGTACAATAAGTAAAATAATTCTAATAGTCATCTGATGTTTTTCATAATCACTAAATATCAACAACTAAAATCATTCCAGAAGAATCTTTTCCTTATTTTTTGTTTCCTCGTGCTTTGATAATGACCTACACTAGACAATCTGGTCTGCCTACTAGGCAGCAATATCTCAACCTTGTGTTTGATGAGGAACAAATGGCAATGTGCTCAACATTGTGCTCTTGGACAAGAACCCCGAGTATCCCATATGCTTGCTGGTTAAGGGCAGAGCCAAATTCTTGAACAGTCAGCCTAAATGGTGGTAGGACTGGGAAATGAGGCACCTGCAAGAGCCCTGCCTGCAGAGCAGGTTGTCCACCACCCCAGGAAGGTGGACTCAAGAAGTGGCCAGTGGCAAAGACCTGACCTAGGGACCAAAGTCTTCAAAGTACCACTTCCAAATAGCAATGATCCAAAGTAACCAGGTCACTGGAGCGCTGAAGCAATGATCTAGGTTTGGGCATTTTGTCATGATAACAAAATAGCACTCTCCTTTTATACAGTAAATTGTCTTTCAGAGTTCAAAGCCTCCCTTGGAGTGTCTATCTGACCTGCTATAGAGAAAGAGCTGCTGCTCCTAATTTCTTTCTCTCTCTCTCTCTCTCTCTCTCTCTCTCTCTCTCTCTCTCTCCCTCTCTCTCTCTTCACCAAGTGTAGGGCCTCAGTTCCCTGGTTGTGGACATTAAGGAAGGTCAAGTATAGTCATCTCTTCATTATCTTTAGGTCAGTTAGGCAGTTTGTAGATTAACAATTTTAAAGCACATCTGAGAAAATTAACAAAGCATCTTTCCTGTAACTCTTTCTAGTATAGCCCACAGTTACTGCACTGTGGGAAACCCCTTGCAGATCAGACTGTAGTCCGACAGCATGGCGGCATGCACTCTTCTACTTGTAGCGTTCTAAAGAGCAAAGCAGGGCCACCTGGCTATGGGCTGTGGTTTCTAACACAGAAAATAGGGAAGTAAACAGTAGGTGAGAAAAGGATAGAAGAAGAAGAGAGTAATCAGCTGAGACTCCATCTTTGAGTAACCTGGGTAAAAATAGTCTTACTGATGAATATTTGAAACATGTTGACCTAGCAGCCTATATAATATTTAGTGCTTATTTCAGTTTCTATTACTGCATAACAAGTCAGCCCAAAATTTGACGGCTTAAACAACAGCCTTTTCATTTGCTCACAATAGTGCGGGTCAGGAATTTGGGCAAAGATGGCTCATCTCTGCTCCTTGATGTCTGCAGTTTCTGTTGGGTTGGCTTCATTGGAGTTATAGCCCTAAGGTCTCGATTCCGGTTTTTGTCTGGATTCTTCAGTTCTCCAAGGAGTAGCCTCTCCACAAGGCTAGCGTGGGCTTCCTCATAGTTCTTCAGGAGAAACAATAAAAACTTAATTTCTTTACACATAAAAATCACTAAGAAAAAAATACACCTGCCACAAAAATTCAGTTTTTCAAAGTGAAAAAAAAGGAACGACAAATGCACTATTGTCGTGAATTTTAACAGGAATAGAAGTCTATAGAACAATGGCTGATCATCTTGAAGGTTATATAACACATTGTTGTTTATGAAAACACAATGTGGTCAAGACCTAATTAAATTCTCTCCTTAAAAAAGAAAGGAAGAATGAAAACAGAAATGATTTAAAAAAAAAATAGAAAAAAAGGAAGTAAAACTTCAAGGTCTATATTCTGTGTGGTAAACACTTAATAATGATAACAGTAGTCCCAGAATAAATTATGTCAAGGAAAAATATATTGATCTCATATTCAAAACTGTGGGAAGACTTAACATGTGAATTAAAAAACATTTGGATGAAATTTTTTTTTTATGTTTCACTCTCTAAAAAGACCTAACAAGTGTTTCTTCAAGCTTGTGTACCTGGGGTAAGTGGAAAGGGTCACAGTTTTGCAACAAAAAGTATCATCTGACTTAAAGCAAATGTGGGAAACAGTTAAAAAATGCTGAACTAAGTGGAGGACATATGGGTGTTTGTTGTACTATTTTTTCAACTCTTAAAAGTCCAGCATTCATCCCCACCTCCCCCAAGTGAGGCTGAGGCTTCTCCAGTTTCGGTCAAGTCCATAGGGATGAAGCAGAGGTTCAGCACTTTCACCTCCAGTCCCTATTGTCCCTCATTTCAAACAGCCTCTCTCCTGGGCACTGATGCTACAGAAAGAAAATCTCGCCAGAGTGCCCCTGCCCATAGCTGATGGGAAGATTGAACTCTTCAAACTCAGAGACCCTCTCTACACTTGTTTATACTCACACTAATTCATTTGACTCAGTTTCAAAAATACTGTGTTAGGAATCATACCTTATTATAAGTCAATGAAAACCCAATTGGAAGTGTATGAAAATCAACAAAAGGAAGTCAAACACCACGATGATTTTTTTTTCCTAGGGAAAAATTATAAGATTGAATTTATTCTGGACAATGCTGCTCGGGTGGAATCCAGGGCTTTCAGCCTCCCAGCGCAGTCTGTCTCTAGCGGCGGCAGCAGTGGCGGGGGAGGCGGTGGCATCAGCAGTGGCAGCAGCAGCGGCAGCAGTAGCAGCAGCAGCGGAGCATCCACTGTGGGCACCGCTGCCCAGACAATGACTACAGCGATTAGCTGTCTGATGGGAAGAGTGTTGCTCTTGGAAATATTTATGGCTGCAGTTTTGACTTTGAACATAAATCTAGGTAAGCGCAGTTCGTTTTTTATGTCATGAATGTCTCCACATACTGAGCTACCAGGAAATGGTTACTTAATAAAGACAGCGCACCACACTTGTGCATGGTATCACTGTGGACTCGAAGACATGGTCTCAGCCAGTGAGAAAGTAATAACCTCCAGGAAATGTTACTCACTTTACCTGGTGGCACAGAGGAATGTGAGGAATGAGAAGTGCAGGTAATGTCAGGACTCTTTTTCAGTTACGAGGGGCAGGAGCTTAGTTCGAATTGGCTTGGGCAGTAACGTGAACTCACTTAACTGAGAAGTCCAGAAGTAGTCTAATTTCTGCCTCCATTAGACCCAAGGACTCAAATGATGTCTTCCAGAAGCTGTGTCCCTCCCATCTCTTGGCTTCATTCACTTTGGTAGTAGATCCACTCCCAGGTAGGCTCTCCACCAACACCATCATCCCTCCTGGCAAAGTAGCACGAGCATCTTCATGTTTACATTCTACCGGCCCAGCAGCTAATGCAGAAGGAATAAAACTCTTTCCCTAGCTTCTTCCTATCCTACCTCAATTAGTAAATGATATTGTTCCTGGCATTTTTTTAGAATTTTTTTCCAGATAAAAATGTTAATCAACAGCTTCTTCTTTGCTACTAAATAATCTTTCATTCTTCAATTAAGTCATAAGATGATTTAAAACCCCTTGGTCTTGGTCCATTCAAGGCGCTATAACAAAATACCACAGACTGGGTGGCTTATAAACAGCAGAAATTTATCTCTCACAATTTTGAAGGCTGGAAGTCTGTTCTGGCTGTATCCTTACATGGCAGAAGGGGTGAGGGAGTTCCATGGTGTCTCTTTTATTAGGGCACTAAACTCATTCATCATGAGGGCTCCACCCTCATGACTTAAGCACCTCCCAAAGACTCCACCTCCAAATACCATCACATCAGGTTTTCACAAATGAATTTGAGGGGGATACATTCAGACGTTAGCAACCATTAATGAAATGAAATGCTGGTTTTTAAATATAACTTTGCATTCCAAATTAATAATAATATTTTACTTTTAAAAGAGTCATGAAGTTCCATTAAATAAAAGGATAAAAATGGAGTGTGAAAAATACTGTGTATAAGCACCACTACTCTCTTTCCACTGTTCCACAAAAAGAATACATTATTGATTCTAATATTAAATTGATAAACTTTAAAATACTAATTTTCACCTACTACTTTTGCCCTATTAACTATACTAGTTAGACAAGTTAAAATTTAAAAACATTTTGAATCATACTCTATGTTACTACTACTTTTAAAATATGTATTTGTATGTTTTTACTTTTCAGGAAACAACTGAAGTGCTATTCTGAAGAACAGGCTGAAAACAAAAATATAAGAACTACTTTTTTTTTCCCCTGAGCTATTTTGTTGCCCAACAAGAAAGTCTAAAAAATATGCTAAAATATTTTTATAATATATAAAATGTATTAACTTTAATCATAAAAATCAAATTTCTTCAAAATATAAATTTCTTTTGATTCCTTATATGTGTATGTACTGGTTTAATTTTTTTTAATTTTCAGAAATCTTTTATTTAGAAGCAGAAATGCCACCTTGCTGCCAGATATCCCTACAAATCATAGAATCCTTTACATAGTTGAAGGAGCTTGTCTAATTTTGATTTAACCTCTTTAGATCTGACTAGAAGTACTTTGAATTTTTATACATACTGAGGGATCTGAGTTTCTCTGTCCATCCATGAGGCTCTTATTCCAATGATCTAAGCCATTCTAATTTCTAAGAACTTGGGGGAAATGAGACTGTTTTAGATCTTTTACAGACTAAGTTGCTGTTTTTCAGATCCATAGTAATTCCAGGAATTCTAGATTGTTCTGAATTTTGGGGCCTGCCAACTGCTGGCCAGTATTCTAAGAAGAGTTTTCTTGGTATCCATGGAACAAGCTTTTGGAATACTAGTAAGTCCAAACTCCTTCTCTGATTACTCCTCCTTTCCAGTCAAAAATGCCACTCCTAAGAGTGTGACCTTCTTCAATCCCAGGCTACACCAGAAGAGACACTTATTTCAAGAGGATAAAATGAGATCATGCCAAAAAGCCACAAATTAATGTAGCTAAGTCAACCAACAGCTCTCATACCAGAAAAATTGTACCCTTTACTCAGAAAATTTTAAATGGAATGCTTATTTTGGAGGAAGAACTCCCAATGAAAGCACTGAAGCCATGTTCAGAGCTAGTAGAATTGGTACTCACAAAAGTTACCTTCCAACAAGAGACACTCAGCAAGCATGAGGAACAGCTGAGGGAATTCAAGGAAGCCCAGACCTTTTTCTTCTGTATACATTTCCTAGAATATTTGCCCCAGGTCATAGTTAATCTTGCTTAACAGAACAAAATATAAACACTTATCAGGAGGTAAATCTAAATATCTTTGGATAAATTTGGCATTTCATTCGGTCAAATAAATATTTAGCATCAACTAGATACCAGGCACTCTAATGAGAAGACTACAAGGGATAAGATGCCATCTCTGCCTTCTAAGAGTTCACAGGGTAGTTCGGGAAATAGTAGTTGAAAAAAGGTAATATTGATACAACATGGTGTGTGAGAGAGAGAACGGAGGGTGCTAGAGGGGCACTTGGCTGGGGCGAGGGGACATCCAGTGAGGATAGAGATGGATGGGGGACAGCTTCCAGAAGATGATGTATGAATAAAGCATGCGATCAGCCAAGGAAGAGTGGACACGGGAAGGTGTGGTGGCAAGAACAAGGGCTGAAACACCACTTGATAGCGAGTACCTTTAAGGCAGGAGCTCTCCCTTACTCAGCGTTTCTTCCTGCTACCTAACACAACGTCTGGCACTAGTAGATGCTATTTTGATGTTTAAGGGATGAAGCATGGATTGTGGGCAGATCAACAAGTGGTCTGATGCTACTGAGCACTAAATATGACATGAGGAAAAGCAGGAAGGGAAGGGCAGCAGTCTTCTGCGCCATGTGCTCTCCCTTACTCAGCGTTTCTTCCTGCTACCTAACACGTCTGGCACTAGTAGATGCTATTTTGCTGTTTAAGGGATGAAGCATGGAATGTGGGCAGATCAGCCAGTGGTCTGATGCTACTGAGCACTAAATACGACATGAGGAAAAGCAAGAGAAAAGCAGGAAGGGGAGGGCAGCGGTCTTCTGCGCCATGCTGTCAGAGGGGCTTGGGTTTATTCTGTATGTCCCAGGGATGCAGTTTTGACCAGATGTCAAAACAGGAGTTTTGGTTATAGCAAATTATAAAGGGAGGCACCAACCTAAGATGTAAAACTTTTTAAGAAAGTGGCCTAAAAGAGTAGAAGATCAGAGGGAGATTTTTGAAGAGCAATTCTTTGTGATGACTATACTAGGAGGGAGTGAAGATTCTGACTCCGGACACCAAGTCAAGAGAAAAGGACTTAAATTAGGCCCCAAGAAAAGCTTAATAGGGGGTTCCCTGAGGTTTGGGGAACACAATGGATTGGTGTCAGCATCATAACTGACTAATCAGAGAGAAGATGGCTGAAGCTGCAATTTAGGAAGTAACAGTTTGTTGAGCAAAGAATGTGCATGTGTGTCCCTGGAACCCGATGAGGGCTCTGTGGGTGTACGTGTTTGTGACAGAGACTGTGGGGAGGAGTGGGAGAGAGAGTTTGCTAGCACAGGAAGTCAGGTCTTTTCCAGGAGGGCTGCCCGGAAGGGAAGAAGACTGCAGGAAAAGGAAACTGCCAGAGGACAAGGGAATGCCTCGCAACTACAGATAAAGTTCAAGCAAACAGCTGGAATAGAAATAGTGTCAATTTTAAAGAAACTGCAGGTAAGAGATCTCTGACAATGAGATGCTAAGAATTGTCCCAGGGATGCAGTTTTGACCAGATGTCAAAACAGAAGTTTGGGCTACAGCAAATTATAAAGGGAGGCACCAACCTACGATGTAAAACTTTTTAAGAAAGTGGCCTAAACGAGTAGGAGATCGGAGGAAGATTTTTGAAGAGCAGTTCTTTGTGATGACTATACTAGGAGGGAGTGAAGATTCTGGCTCCGGATGCCAAGTCAAGAGAAAAGGACTTAATTAGGCCCCAAGAAAATCTTAATAGGGGGTTCCCTGAGGTTTGGGGTACACAATGGATTGGTGTCAGCGTCATAACTGATCAATCTAATCAGAGAGAAGATGGCTGAAGCTGCAATTTAGGAAGTAACAGTTTGTTGAGCAAAGAATGTGCATGTGTGTCCCTGGAACCCGATGAGGGCTCTGTGGGTGTACGTGTTTGTGACAGAGACTGTGGGGAGGAGTGGGAGAGAGAGTTTGCTAGCACAGGAAGTCAGGTCTTTTCCAGGAGGGCTGCCCGGAAGGGAAGAAGACTGCAGGAAAAGGAAACTGCCAGAGGACAAGGGAATGCCTCGCAACTACAAGTAAAGTTCAAGCAAACAGTTGGAATATAAATAGTGTCAATTTTAAAGAAACTGCAGGTAAGAGGTCTCTGACAATGAGATGCTAAGAACACATGAAAGTCCCTTCATGCCCAGAGATCACTGATCCTTGACTAGTCCACACCACCGGTTAACTGAGGACTTCCATACTTCCCTCACTTCCAACCTTGGAGGGGGAGAAACCTCTACTAATACAATGGGGAGGAGGAGAGAGACCAAACAACCCCTCCCCCCATTCTGTGATAGGAAAGTCTTAAAAATCAGGTTTTTAAAAATGCAAATCCAGTTTACCTCCCATTTCTTGATACTTCCTTTCTGTTAGAAAACTAAATTCCACAAACTGCAATTATAGCATCTACGGAACAAATTCCTACATTGGGTTCTGGAAGAGATGCAAAAATCTTCCCTTCAGAGCATTGAGAAAGCCACAGAATTGGACACCATCTGTAGTCTTTGCTTACTCAAGTTTAATTCAGTCCACTGGTAATTTTTTGTCTAAAATTTTCCATAGCTTTTTAATAAAGAAGTTTTCTAATACAAGTCATTTGAGAGAAAAAGAAATTTCTAAAACTTTGCTTTTTAGCCACAGTATTAAAATGTTTGATTTAACTTCTTTAGGTTTCTGGCTGTCGGCTTTTATAAAATTTTCTAGAGATAGTATAAACCTATAATATTTTTTGCCAGGCAAATTACAACTTTAACTGCTACTTTTTTAAATGCCTGAATTGTTAAGAATCCAAAGGCAATATGGCTTCACATTGCCTTCATTCATAAACTGGCTGTCATGTTCAAATTTTTTAAAATACATTTTAATGTGTGAAGCAGCTTTTTAGCTGTTGAATAAATCATAAAAGTACTGTTCTATCCAGGATATGTGCCAGGGCTGACCAGCAGACCCTGAGCTACAGATGAATGATTACTCTGACACAATGTTTGCTGTAGAAGAGAAGAATAAGGGACTGCCTGGCTAAAGGAACCAGACAGCCTCAATCGCCTGCATCTTCAGGCTTTCATTATAACAGCAGTTTGAGATATAGTTTATCTTTTAGATATAATCAGTAGGGTAAGTAATCTTGGGGGGCGGGGACACATATGTTTGCAGTGTTCTTTAAGCAAGGATACCCAAAGATTAAGCATAAGGATTCCAGTAAACACCCGGGGGTCTGCACATTCACAGACTTGTTTGGAAAGGTCAAGAAATAATTAGGGGCACCAGCTTCGGCACTCCCCTAATTGGGAATTCTGGTAAACAGTGCAGGCCGCCTTCAGCACTCTTCCCTTATCTTAGGTCAAGGAATAATTAGGGGCACCACCTTCGGCACTCACCTAATTCAGAATTCTGATAAACAGGGCAGGCCGCCTTCAGCACTCTTCCCTTATCTCGGAATGTCCTCCTTACAAACTTTCCAATCAAGTCTCCCGTGCTCCCCAACAGGTCTGAAAAATGCATAGAGTAAATATAGAATGTTCTCATTTTGGTCAATGTAAGGAAAAGAATAAGGAGGTAATAAGAATATCTTCCTGTATTTCTGATAAAAGTAAAATGTTTCTATCTTGT